CCCCCCCCTTTCCCCCCCCCCCCCCTCTCTCTTTCTCTTCCACTTTCTCTCGTTATCTAGCATTCTCTTTAACATTCGCGACTCCTCGCGACTCTCGCTACGCGATTACGCCTTAGTAATTATTACAAGTCGCGAATTAATCATTTCGTTTGCAACAGCATCAAAAGTCAGGTTAGGAGAGACTATCTTATGTAAGTCAGGTAATCCGTATTATTTTACAAACGTTATGTTTTTTTTTGATATTCGTCTTAAGATACCTCTGCCGGTAAAATTGGAATCTTAGCAGGAAGATTATTTTTTTTTTAATTAAGCATCCTCGTATAATTGCATCTCGCTCGGCTTCATTTTCTCTGAACTTTACGGTTTAATCATTTTTCTGAGCTGCTTTTTTTGTTTTTTCCTTTTATTTTGTCGCTTTGGTCGGCTTTGTTATTGCAAGAAACAGTTTCCTCTCCAACGGCCTTCTTTTAACTTGGGTTACCCTATATGTTCCCAGACCTTTCTTTTCATTGTTTCGTTTATACCTCCCTGCTCTCCGTTCTCTCTTTCTCTCTCTCTCTCTCTCTCTTTTCTCTTATTTTCCTTATTTTCTTTCTGCTCCTCGCGTACGCGTCGCTCCTAAGTGAAGTCGAACCGAGTCGTAACCTTTGTGCTTAAGTATAACTGTGTATATAACGTCAAAGCGCGGTTCAACCCAGCCATTCACATTTCTGACGTTTATTAATATTTTTATGTTGCTCACCCTTTTCTCCCCTCTTCTCCTCTCCCACCCCTCCAGCCCCTCTTCATCCCTCCGTATCTTTCTTATGGGGTGGCTTTAGGACTCGTACATTTACGCTCATCGTCCAAGTGCCTCCTGCAAGGGTTGACAAGCAGCTAGAACAGTCGTCGCCATCTAGAAAACGATCGGCAACACCTTGCAGGGGCGAACTATTATTCTTCGGAGGATGGAAGGACAGAGGAGTGGTAGGTCGCTTACGGTCTTGTTTTCTTTATCTTTTTTTTTTTATTGCCTTTATTCCCTTTCATTGGATGCTTACTGCTCCATGTGATTTTGCCTGGAATCATTCGGTCGCGCATAAGTGGTCACGCCTGATTGGCTTCTGCATCGGCTATTTAACGGTCATATAATTTTCTTCTTGTTTCTTTTGATTATTAGGTAATTGCTATTTTTTTTCTTCATTCTTTGCCGCTTCGATATCTATTTGAGATTCTTAAGGTTTTACGGTGTTTTTATTCGTTTTTTAGGATTTTTTTGCCTTCTGTATGTGTTTTTGGATTTTTATCACGATGCCCAGTTTCGCAACTCTCGTGGGTCTGATTCATCATGAAAGTTTGCCAATTAATTTATATCGCACATGCTCTGTGGTTATTTTTGGTTTCTTCTCGACACCCCTCAGGCTCACGATAAATTTTGTAGAACATTCAGAATTCTGGATAAAACTGTTATTGAATTTCGTGCAATTAACGAAAGAGTCATGTACGGGAAATATAGTAAAAAATATATTTTTTATTATACATTACGTATATCTTGATTATACAACTTTTGCAATTGTATAAGTTACGTATGTACGTGGAATGTATTTTACAGGTATATTTTCGATCGACGTTAAATATACTCTTTATATACATGGAATGTATACAGTGTGGCAAAAAATTCTGTATTGAAGATATATATCGTTAGCAAACAGATGAATCGTCATTGAAGAAAAAAACTATCAACAGAAACGGTAGTCACTCTTGGTATGCCGAGACGAACAGACGGGTTTTCAATTTTTGGGTTAAATATCGAAGTGTATAATAAGTCGTAGAGAAATTAATAAAACCAAGATATCCTTTATCAATAAATTGGATTAACCTAACAGTATAGTATATAATGAAAAATATTTTGTACTATTGTATATTCCATCTATATGAATTTTTCGTCGACGTAGTAAACGGAGTAAAGGAGTTGCAACGGTGCAGAAAAATTTATTAGTTCATTTTATGAGTGATAATAATTTTTATATTTATTAGAGAATTGTCCTTAAGTATGAAAATTTTTTTTTTTTTGTGAAAATGCATAGGGTCGATAAATTTCTCAAATGGCGGAATTACGAAGAACTGCTCGATTACTGATTCGAATGGTAATTAAGGACTCGCAGGGATCGACACGTATTAAATGTACCTCGGCTTTTAAGAGACTGTCCCACCTCTGGTGAATGCTTTAGCATTAGGCTGCGGTCGGAACTTCCTAAGATGGTAATTATTCACCCCTGAGTCCTTTATAATAGTGACAAATGACTACTCCTATCCAACGTACACACTCGTACTTAATATACGTAGTCGAGGTAGCTGCTTTTCCATAATAAAGTCAGAGGAGACGAAACTTCTAGGTAAATTATTAATGATACAATTACTATGTCGTAGAAAAAAGTGAATAGTAAATCGATACCGATGAAATTGTCGTAGAAGCCAAAGAGAGTGAGTAATTGAGTAAAAAGGTCTAGGGGTGAATATTTTTTGTAAAATTGTACATATTTTTAGGCTGTCCGATCATCGATTTTTCATGGTTCTCCTGTAAATTTCACGGCTTTACCAACGGACGGCACTGGGTGTCGTTTGGCTCTCAGCGGTGTGGCTGGGAAATTGGAAAATTTATTTTTGCGACTGAGCGACCAACGAGAAGGAAATAAATTGTCGAAGCTTCTTTCCAGCTGGGAAAATAGCACAGCCAGAGATTTTTAATCCCCCTTCGTTTGAACGGCAACTTTTGTTTCAAAGCCAATCTTCCCATTTTCCCATGGCTACCGTATCGACGTAGTCACCCGCTGAGTTCAATCGACGACTCGTGTTTGCGTAACGCTTGCGACTTAACTATGCTACCCGGAATAGATTTTTTTTGGATTCCTTTCATTTTGAAATGGATGATTGGAAATATAAATTTTCTTTTTCTTTGTTTCAGGTATCTTGGGTCCGTAGGCGGGGTGACGAACTACTTTTACTCACGTTCGGGATAAATACCTATTCCAGCGATTCACGATTCTCACTCAACTATGAGAAACCTAATGATTGGAGATTATTGCTCCGTTCGGCAACAGAACGTGATGCTGGTGTTTACGAGTGTCAAGTCAGTGCTCATCCACCATTCATCCGGACGGTCTACCTATCCGTATCCGGTAAGTGAACACAGCAACGACACAATAAATGAATAGTGCACTGATTTAAAAAAAATTTTTTTTTTCATTGATTTTCCAAAAAATTGAAATTTTGAGTTTTTTTACAAATTTTTAACCTTTTTCAAGGGAGTTCGTTTAAGGGTATCTTCTTAACAGAAATAATTCTGTCACTTAATATTACTATTTCATGCATTGTAAATTTTGATTTTTTAAAAAATTTTATTTATTCATTAATACTGGAATGCCTGAAAGAAATTCCAGTCCTCGTTTTCAACGAGTTATTAATTGTATTAATTATTTCATTAATGTTCACCATTGTCATCGCTCTTATGTTTATATATTTATCCAAATATTTCAAGCTCACGTCATATACCGTGTGTCCGTAATACATTATCGTCATTTAACGTCATAGCGGAATTCAGGCAGGGGTAAAGAGTCGACACTGCGTAACTCCCTGACCATATAAAATATAGGGGTTCCATAACGCGCAGGCTGTTTTTCATCGGTAGCGACAAAGTCGCGCCGTACTAAAAGTTATTCCGGACTTGCCATTTATCGACGCACGGTCGGACGCTAATTCGTTAAAAAAATGACGAGATCGCTCGGTTGGATTCGGACGTGGAAAGTTTTTACGGACAGAATTCTTTTTTTTTTATCGACGTCCAAAGAACAAAACACAAAAATTTTTTTTCCCCTTGATATCGCCAAACACAAAAATACGAGTACCATTTTACGGCGCACAATTGTTAGAAAGAGAGAATGGCTGCCATATTGGTAAAAGCTAATAAGCTCCGAGAGATTGAGATATTTTTCAAGTCGCTCGCATCGAAATCGCCGTGTTTATTTTTCTAAAATATTTGCGCGAACTGTGCGAGATACGAGGGAGATAAATTTCATCACCGTGTCTGCAATAATGTTACACCTACATAATTTTTTTACACGCAATTTATATACCCTGTGTAACGAATATTTACTGTACAAGATTTAAGTTACCGATCGATACTTTTTTTTTTAATCTGACTCCAAATGTTTTTTCCCAATTTTTCTCACACTCCGTTCAAGGTTCCGGAAATACCATTCGTTCAATACCAATCTAGGTCCTTTCGCAAACATCAGAAACGGATCACAATTTCAGTTCAGTCCCACAGCCACTATATTGCGTAGATCAAACAGATCTTGTGTACACGTGTACATAATGGCGGCGTGCGTTTCGCATTGACCCGTAATAACTAATAATTCGTGCGTGCGTGCGTGCGCGTGTGTGTACCGTACCAGAAATTTGTTCGCCATGACCTTTGACCCTGAGAGACAATATAATCCTCTTAAAAATTTATATGGTAACTCACTTCCAAGAGCCATATAATTTGCCATGATGAAAATGAAGAAAAAAAAGAAAAAAAAAAATTCTCAAAATTTAATTTCAAAAACTACCCTGATATTACTTTGATGCGCTTTTTCAAGTGATTTTCAAATTCAGACCTAGTTCTGTCGTCTTGTTACCAGGAAAAGCGTTGAGCACGGAAATGGAGTTTCCGTGCGCGTTAGAAAGATGACGGAAGATTTTTGCTTTTCGGGAAATGAGTTTTGACTGTCGAATGGAATTCATAATAAATTGGAAAACTTTGGTTGTTGCTACACTTCAGCTTTTACGTTTAACGTTCAGTTTTCACCTGGAACGCTTGTAGCTTTTGCCAGCATTTTTTTTTCCTATTTTTTTTTTGTTTGGCGGAATCCGCCTCTACCGCCCCTACCAAGACGCGTGAGCTTTGGACGTTATTTTTCCCCCCTCGAAGTACGTAAGCTTCTCTAAGCTGCTTGTGGCTTTTTCTTTCTTTTCTCTTTTCCTTCTTTTTTTATCCGAATCTCCTCTGCCTCTCACATTTTTCTTTCCTCATTCTTTTGCGAAAACTGGGAGCACCCTTTTCTTCCTGGGATTAATGGTTTTGATGATCTGCCATGATATCGGTTCGAGTGCGATCAAGTAGATCCCACGTTAACACCTCTCGGTATTTTTATCATAAGATCCATAATTCAGTGCATCGACTATATGACAGGAGGGTAACGACAATGGATCAATGTTGAATAATTTTTGTTTTCTATTATTTATCCCATACCATATATGTAGAGAGTTACCCAACGAGAACTGGAGAGCAACACTAGTTGGTTTTTTAGTTATCTATATTTTTAAAGAAAATTTTCATAATTTTTAATTTTTCATATACGGTTCGATCAATGGCGATAATAACTGTAAAAAGATTATCAATTCTGTGTTCGTAGTACTCGCGCAAAATGTTTTTTTTACAAGGGTATACTATTTTCGAACATTTTTTTATCTTGCCGTTTTTTTTTTCACTCCAACTCGGATGCACCGAAGATTTGAAACTTAGAAAATAATTTCTTCGCGAAAATGAGTCTCTTGGGGCTCGAAAGCTTTATTGCTGGCAACCGTTCAAATAGTTTCTAACTTATATTCCAGCCAGTGTTAGCCTTTTTCGAAGCTTCGGTAACATTCTTTTGGCTCGGCTCGAAAGCTCTCTCGGTCATTTAAAAATATTACAAAATCGAAAATTCGATAAGAATCCATTTGGCAATAGTTATTCCATTATTTAACACCCTATTACCTCGATCTACATAATTCCCCAAAAAAAAAATCCAAAATTTTCACCCGATCCAAAAAGCAAACTCAAAATTCATCACCACAAAACACAATTTTTCATTCAAGCACGAATAACCCTATACAAAGATCGTCCATACAGTTAGCAATGTCCTGGACTGATCAACTGTCAAAAATTTCCTTTTGTCCGTACGCGCCGTAAGCTCCGTACGACTAGGAAGCTTTTGGTAAAAACTAATAAATCCCTGTACGACGTTAAGAATTTCAGAGAGAGAGAGAAAAGCTGGTAGTAAAGTCAAAAGAGAGGACAGACTATCGGCAGTGCGAAGGAAGAAAAGAGAGGTATAAATTGGTTGGAGGGGGGGCGGAAGGGGTTAGCGTTGTGGTGGTAAGAGGGACGGGAAAAAGTGGCTGGCACGAACTGGGCGGTTCTCGTCCAGAGCTTTCGAGGCTCGGAAAGCTTCGGGTGCAGTTGGCAAGAATAAATCAAGCCTTGCCAATACCGGGCGTTACGAGCTTTTATTACACAGTTGCTACCGGTTCGCTTGTTTGCCGTCGTGCTTATTTACAAAGGAGATGCACAGCCATATACCATATAACGTATCTTTCGGTCGCTCTGTTATCTCGAAACTGTACGAATACATTCTCGTTAGCCTGCTAACAAATTGGTCATTCCCTTCATCCTCTTTTACTGTCCTGTTATCCCACCTCTTTTCCCACCGACTGTAGCCCCTGCCAGGACTTCCGTTTAAACTTAACAGAACCTTTGATTGAACGGGGGCGAAATAGTTTTCTAATAGGATTTGTCCTAGTCGCCATAGTTGGCAGCACTGAAATTTCTTTGCCCAAGGGAAGTACTAGGTCGAAGGGTTATGGGGGATTGAGAGGGAAAGAGGATTTGTCAACGGGATTTAAATATTGATTAAAGTGTGATCTCGCCCGAGCCGGATTAGACGCAATGTAAATGAGCTATCGGTTCCTCTCCATGAATACTTGACGCTTTTGGCGTCGCGACGCCGAATGAAATTTGTATAGTTTTTTTTAAATCGAATATCGGTCATTCTTATCACTGCGAGTTACCGGTTAATGTCTTTCTTGTCAGGCAAATGCGACGAGGGATGACGGAAAGTTTGAACGCAATTTTTTTGCTGTTAAGTTGATACGGAATTACGTCATCTAATTCTACCACCCCCTCCTCACCTTTACCATCCCTTCACTCGTCTTGATATCCCTTCTAAACCCGAGAGCAGCATTATCCTGATGAGATAATAAGATTTCTCTGGAGGGAGTGGGTGGTGAGGGGGAATGTAAGGAAACTGTTACCATTATCGTTATTATGATTATTATTGTTATACTTATCATTGTTATCATTATCAATGCTCTTACCGTGGATCGTAAATACTACTTGTGCTCGTACTATTGTAATTCTAATTATAGGGTTATTATTACGTTATTATTAGCTTTGGCAACAGTTGAACGTTTTACGTTCGACTTTATGATAATTCACGTGCCATTCGTGAATTTCGTGTATATAGGGTTCGTTTTAGAATTTTTTAAAATTGCATCGTTTCTGGATATTTATGAAAAATTTTGATTGGACCGATAAGAGAATATATTCAGTTTGTGGATGGAGGAGGTCGGGAGGTGTGTTGAATTCCTTGTGTTTCTACGGAATGTTAAGCTTATATTGTTACGGTCAAGCAGACGAATTGCTGAGAATTTGAAGGGTGGCGAATCGCGGTAAATGAAGGGTTCGAAATTCATTCCCCGGAAAATTCCGTGTTTCCAATTACTAGGTTAGCTGAGTAATCGTTGGGTGGACGGTACTGGAATTAGGGAATCGTATAATCTCATCGAGTATACACAGCTATTTTTTTTTTAAATTAATCATTTTTTTTATATACTTTGACAGACGAAATTTTTTCTCACCTAATTTCTCATTCTGCAGGCCAATAATAAACGATTGAAGAAGACTTTAGAAATTTTTGTGAAATTTTTTTTCTTTTGATTACCCCTTAATTTCTCGTTTGACTAGTAACCTCTGACCTCTCGTATTTACAACAATTTGCTAGACCAATCATCCTTATCAGTAATTGGCCTTCGTTGATAAATGAATTTTTAAATTTTCTTTTTCATATCTCTTCTGTATTCCCGTCAGAGAGCGTATATTATTCCCAACCCTTATATCGGGTGGGAATAATTTCTTCAACTGCTCGACGTTTCCCTCGAATCAGTCCCTTCTAAACCGAACCTCTCCAGGCTGGCACGTAGCTTTAGAGCGTTCAAGTGTCATAATCGCCATTGCACTAATGGATTGTTGCTGTTAACGTTGCTGCATTGACGTTAAGTGTCTCGGACATGACGCAGTCGACTTTAATGAGATTGA